TAAATTCGGCGGCCGTGATTGGCCGACGCCAAACTTGACCTTGGCGTCGGTCAATCACAGCCGCTGTATTTCTCGCCGACTTTTTCGCCAAGTGTCCAGATTGGGGCCCCCGTTGGTACAGTGTAATGTGTCGCCGTGAGATTTCGCCGCGGCGGTCATCTACTACCGCAGGTTCCCATGAGTTCACAGTCAGTCCACCTGCTTGCGTTCCCGTTTGTCACTGCTTCGTCGCTTCGTGTCGCCGAGCAAAAGCTTCGAGCTGCGGACTCCACGGTCCGAGGTTTGGTACCCTCTGTGCCACTTGCTAAATCTTGCTAATTATGATTAATTATGCCGAAGTATGATGACGATCAATTATTACTAAGTACGGCTCATATATGAATTTTTTGTGCACGCATTGTGTATTGCGTGCTATATATGCTTTATATTAAATTGGACTGGTTTTAAGGGGTTTTCGTTAAACTTGAGCGCCAAGGGGCTTTTCGCACGAAATCATGTCCTTAAACATTCTACGTTTAAACGTTTTTCTTAAGCACTAAGCAAAATTAAGAAACCGGTTTTTAACGCGCTTTGTGTCTAAATGACCGTGCACACCGTTTTAGGTGGTTAAATATTTGTTTATGCTTTTAGCTTACGAACAAATGCAAAACCGATAAAAATCACGACAATTCAGGTTTTTCGGCAACAACGACATTAGGTAGCAAGCTACAGCGCTGTTGTCACCTAGCAAAGCTTCGTAAGAATTTCAAGACTGTAACTACGACTGACTCCTCCTGAGAATATATATTAAAATCTCTAAAATAACAAAAAAAAAAAAAAACGGACGCGAAACAGAAACAACAAAAAACGAGACATAACGGCGACTCGTTTCGAGTTTTGCCATCGGTGCTGTTCTGCCAGCGAGAAATAAACGCGAAGTGTACAAATAAGGGCCAACAAAGTGTCGTCTGCACAAGAAAAGTGTCCCAGAATCAATCTTAAGTTTCCTGTCTGGAAGGAGCGAGATAGCGAAGAGTGCGGCTTTTCCGCATTATGATTCAGTCCGCAGGAAAGCCCGACGGTTAGGATGACGCAATAGACGGGATATTTTGGGGAGGATGGGGAGGATGAGTTTTTTTCTTGCGTCCGTAGTGTTTTTTTTTTTTTGTTTTGTTTTTCTACTGCACCAGCAATTTGAAAGCGGAGCTGCGAAATTTGCTGGTCGTATAACGCGAGGCGAGTCATTTTATGCTGCGTCGGAACTAGACCGGGTGCGAATTAACAGGGACCTTTAGCAAACTGTTAGCGTGTTCCGTTCCGCGTACTGCACTACCGGAGCCTTTGAAGCATGCTTTTAAAAGCGCAGGCCAGGATGATAGTGTGTCTGCGGGGCGTGCGTTTCAAAGCACGCTTGAAAGCCACCGGTAGTGCGGTGAGCGGAACACGGTAATGGTTCGCTAAACGTCCCCAATGTCTGGCACCGTGAGGGCCGTAACCACGAGCAGTAATGTAACTCATATAGCTCAAAAAGCAAAGCTACTCGGAAATATACTGGCCACTGTAATTCCTAGCAACTTGTTTGTCAAGCAATCTAGGGTGCTTCAGAAAAACAAACAAACAACGAAAGTATAACTAAGCGTGAAATGGTTACTTGTAACCACAATATGACCATTGCAATTGTACTTAGTATATAAACCTTATTTAGAACGTGATTTCGTTCCCAAAGCATCATGATATAAAAAAAAAACAATAGCATGAAAATGACTATTGTTTAAAAAAAATTATTTAAGCAGTAGCGGTCGTCCTGTGTAAAAGTGGACTACTCCTGCGTTTCGTTTACTTGCACGAAGTTTTTTTTCTAATATTTTAAAATTACATTGCTACCTCGAGAAAAAAAACGAGGGCTTATTGGGAATCTGTAGCGCTTAAAAAATGACTCTTACAAAAAAAAAAAGAAACACGTGACAGGGCACGTGTTTCTCGAGCCCTACTTTGCGTTTATGGGCATTCAACCTACTTAGCTTGTTGCTACAGCAAACAAAAATCTTTTTAGCATTCCGGTGGCTTCTTCTTTGACGAATTAATCTTGAGGGAGATCACAAACAAGGTGGTGTTTCCATCGTTGGGGAAGACTCGCCTCTATGTTTGCCGATTGCTACGCGGCACATTGGCGATGTAAGAGTCCTGGTGTTATTTGAAGTCTAGCCAACAAAAAGCGAATTAAACGAAAAAGATATTGGGCGAATATTTAAAAAGGAAGGGGAATTATACATTTCAAACAAATAGCTAGCAACCAAATCGCTGGTAAAGTTTAGAACTATGACAAAAGACGAAGAACAAAACGATTCTCAAACATTAGACGCTTGCCTGCCCTTATTGTCTACTTCTTCTAAAAGAAGTTTTTCATTTATTTTGGTCTACTAATTTACATTTCCTGCGCTTCATTTACTTACCTGAATGTACGCGAGAGATTACCTCGTTAATTTACCAGAATCCAAAGGAACGTAGAAATATGGCTCATGCTCCACACCGTCCTATTAATTCATTTTCCCTTCCCCCGCCCCTCGGCAACGTCTGCCTCGAGTGCAAATCTATCCGTGCCTTTCAATTCCGCGCTTTGAGGCATAATTTAAAGCAGCAATCTAAAACGTCTCGATTCGTTTTTCCTTTATCTTTTCGCTTTTTGTGCATGGAGCACGTACGCAATTTCGGCAGGCAGTATAAGTCCACTGAACTAGGGTCAGCATCGACCAGAAAAACTAACAAATAATATATATATAATTGCAAGCAAGACGCGTTGTCAACTTTGGGTCTCATTTGAATGTACGTGCTTCTCCGTCACTAATGCAGGACTGTCCTCGTGTGTCGTTTTATAATATTACACTTTTTGAATTCTACTGAATTTGTATTACTTGCCACTCTGCCGGGCACCAGGTTTTGCTCCAGCCGAGGAACTCGTGAAGGTAATTGGCTATCTCGTCTTCTTGTAGTTCTTAGAGTGACATTTGAACGTTTTTCTTAAATTTACGTATAAGATGTTATCGCGTTAAAATTAAATTGATGGAGTGTACACGTGCCGCTCACTAATGGCGTTGCGCGGGACTCATACTACTCACCATTTTCTTTTGAAAAAAAAAACAAATATGCTAGTCACATATAAGTAGCCACTGAAAATGATATGACCCTCTTGTGTATTATGCTGAGAAGGATTAATTTACACATTATTTTGTGCTCTCAAATGCCCGTGGTATATTTGAGAATTGACGGAAGCATTGATTTTGATTAATATTTGTTAAAGCATGCAGGTATTTGTTAGCTGTTTATGCATCATTAAGGTATAGTTTGAATCAAATTATGGGTTTATGAATCATTGAGGTATTGTTTGAATCAAATAAAACAAAAGTGAACCTTTATTACATATACTACGATTGACTTTAATTGTTTCATTTATTGTGAGACAGTTTATTTTATGTTTAAAATAGTAGAAGGCGGCAGCAAGTTAGCTTAAAAACTATAGTGACTTGCTCTGTTCGACCAAAAATGTAAATAAAATTATTTTTACATTATAAAAGAAAGTGCGAACTACTCTAAGTAGGTGAAGGTGTTGCACACCCTATTTCACAAGTTTAAATTATGTGCTGAAACTTGTATGTGTTCAGATGGGCAAAATTTAGTGGAAAGCGTGCACATTGTGTGAATTGTGTGGTTTTATTTTGAAAGTAGATATCTATTACTTAATTAAATGGGCACTTGAGTGAATCTTGAAATCGTCTATTTATGGTGATAAATCAATCTACGGGCTCTAAGCATCCGGAAAAACCCAAATGACACTCATGGGTGTCCGATTTTGCTTTTAAAAATCTTACCAAAGATCTTGACACGCCCATCTTTCTACGCCTTGGAGCAGGCACCAGTGGCCGCCGACAGATAGCGTTTTCAAGCAATACTTTTGCATTACGTCTCCTACACCTAATGGTTTGACGAATTGTCAAATACAAAGCACAGTGTACCTAACACGAGCGACATTTGTAGCGTTCAGAATCTTCACACAATTAACTAGTCTTCATCGGTCAACTTTTATAGGGGTGGTTGGTACAGGGGGACGGCAGCCCAAGAGAAAATAGTGTTCGTGTATTTATAGCGCTATAAGTTTAGTACGACGTGTTTCCGTCTAGAAGTGATCTTTTCTATTGACTAAAGCCCAATAAACATTATGCCCTCAAAAATTGGTTTCTACAAAAAGCATTTTATTGCACCTTTTAGCTTTCTTTGAAGGAGCGGCTTGGTACAATTCCAAATATTGGAGCTTTTAAAACACCCAAGTAGCCAATTTAACTGAGAATGATTTAGTTCTGTAAATAAATTTTACTTTCGTTTGAGCATTAATATTAATAATATTAAGGATGCACGTACACTGCACACTTTGAGCGCGAACCCGGCTTAGGTGCTTTCTAGCGTTTGATTTCAAAAGGGTACTCGCGGGCACCAAAAAGTGCCACTTAGGTTAGTAGTTCAACTGAGCACTTTCCACCGCGATAATAGCTTTTAGGACAGTCTTTAAATACCAAAAAAAAAGAAAAGAAAACTGGCGATAGCGTGTTGGCGCTAACAGTGGCGCGAGTCGATACACGTACAACTTTGGAGTGCTTAACTTGTACACCGTAGAGGCGAACGTCTACCAATAACATGTATATGTATAGGCATTGCACCACCCCTGGCATATAGATTTACATCCAAGGCTATTTGTCGTAACGCATTGAAACTCCTCTACGAAATCCCTTCCCAGGAAAGACGTGTAGTAGCAAGTACTAAGATTATAACTCTTGCCCGAAGAAAACAAATAATTGAACATGTCACGGAAAAATTTCTTGAAGTCCTCCGCTCGGCACGTGAGCTGGTAAACAGCAGGCACGACCTTCACATATATACGGAACAAACAACCTGTCACACTTATTCTAACGCGCCAGCCTCGTCCGCGAAACTGAAGCCATGGCATACACTAAGAAAGCACTCCGGAGAAATCAATATAGATTCGCACAAAGAGAATAAATGAATAAGAAAAGCTGAAATTGAGAACCGAACATTTTCTTTGGCGCGATCGATGAAATGTAAGGGCTGAACTGTTGCTTCCCGAGAGCCTGTGCCTCATACCGATACATGGTCACCGCATCGCCTCTGGAAGGAAAAGGGTAGCAATACAAAACCGCGTGACTCTTTTTTGTCATCCCCTCCCCCTTCTACTCGGAGTCTCCACCAGGAACGCCCGTTTTTCTGGCGCTCATGACTATTGACGCTGGGGCGAGGCCAAGCAACACATTTCTAACAAAGAAAAGAAGCTAGCGCGAACCCCACGGCCGGCGCCATAGCTGACTCAATTCATGCGTTGCCCTCCTTTTAGAGACGAACGACAAGCCGACGCGAACCATCCCCTGCGCTGTTGCTCGCACCACGTGACTCTTAGGCGCAGAAGCATACGCCTACCCTTCCCCAAATCTTTCCCTCTCTCTCATACCAGCGTCCTCCTTCCCTATTTCCCCAATCTACTCGCGCGTTTCCTCGCAGCTGCTTTCTACGCATGCGCCGCTGGCGAAAACTAGAGGAGCAGTGGCGCCCAACGTGGGGAAACACGCCGGTGACGGAAAGAGAGGGGAACGAAGGGAAGAGACAGAGAGAAGGAGAATGAAAAATAGGGAGAGCGCTGGAAGCTCGGGCGCTGGGGCAGCTCTCGAGCGAGACTCCTTCGGTGAAGGTTGCTGGCCGACTGAAGACGCCGGCCGCGCTCTAGCTGGAGCACGTGGCTTCGTCTCGAACGCAGCACGCCACAGCGGCTGTCCAGCGCATTCGTCTCTCCTCAGGTCACTGCGGCTGCGTAAGATACGTATTCCTTGCGCTGTAGTGGTGATGGTCGTCCCTTGTAGCTAGCGGGGGCCCTTAGTGAAAGAAGATCTGAAGAGAACTACAGGATTACGCCAACGTCCGAGCGGTGGTCCAGTGGATACGAGCTGGTGGAGAACGCCGTGGACTGCCAAAGAAAGAAGTGTTTTATTCTTCGTCAGGATGGGTTGCAACCTAGGTAAGGGCTCTCAGCCGGACGACTCTGAAGTCAGGGAGGACGGCAAGCGTGTGGCATCAGGAGCGACGTCGCCTCAGACACCGCCTCCCGGGGCGTTGGCCGATAGGATGGCTGACGGACACGTTCCCAATAAGGATAGCAACGCTCTCATGAGCCTGGATACCCACACCGAGGATCAAGGTTTGTGCTTTCTTGGCGTCTACTGCCACGTTTTGTACGCTCGCTTTTTTTCGGAAGAATTAAGAATAGTGACTTTCTTATTTTTTTTTGTCATTGCTGAAACACGGCTGAAACAACGTGCAGTCATGTTGAGGGTGTCGTAAACATCGTGTCTAGGATATCGATGCTTATAGAAAAAAAAAAACGTAGCGATCAGCGACAACATTTGCAAGAATTATATCCAGTGTTATAAGAGTTGCAGCTGCTATGTCTTTCGGTGCTCGTGCATGAGGAGCATTCTACCGAGCTAAGCTGTGGCCCGGTGTTTTTGATCGTGTTGCATGGGAGTTATTAAATGCATATCCTCACTGTCGTCGAATAGTTCTTAGATCAGCTGAAATAATGGCTTTAAATATTTGTTAGAGAACATGTTCTAACTCTTGAAATCATATCGTAAATGAATATCTAAAACAGTTATTTCTAAAGAATCAATAATACAAATTTCATAATATACCAGTACAATAAAAATATGAAATTGATGATAACATGTAGTAGTGTTAGCGCTGAATTCCGAAAACAAAAAAGAAATAAACCATTCCCAATTTTAGCATCACTTTCTTTTTGTGTAATAGATCCTTCAGACAGCGCGGTGGGAACAGAACAACAGTTTATTTCCGTATGAGCGTTTATATACACTGCGCAGGTTATGATAAGCGAACGCGGCTTGCGTTGGTGATAGGCGCTGACAACGATAACAACAAATATACCTTGTCACTACATGACACTCCTTTCTCCTACGATTAGATGCACAAAACAATAAAGAACGCTTGGTTAATCATTAATGCCATAGCGTACAACAGGATGTCGATTGCGTGTTGATCTTCGTGGTGGAGCCGGAGCTTGCGTTGCTGACTCCGTGCTCGCCTCCGGCCGCTGCGACGTTCCCGCTGTAGGTGGGAGCCTGAAGTGATAGTCCACCCTTGTGCTGGCATCCCCTTGAGGCGCCGTCCAGGCTCGTCTCAGCTGGTTCCGGTGTCTGTGATGGCGCTCCCCGTTGTCCAGTTGGACCGCGTACGACACCGGGCCTCGCACTTCCACCACGGTAACTGCTTTCCACCGGGGCCCTGGATTGAAACTCTTTGCGTAGACTGCGTCACCCACAGCAAAACACTTTGTTGGCGACGCCTGAACCTCAGGTTCACGCTGACGATCTGGGTGAAGTCTGTCCAAGGCTGTCCTCAACCTCCGCCCCATCATCAATTCTGCCGGTGACTTCCCCGTGACAGAATGCTGCATGGTGTGTTGTTTAAACAAGAACCGCGCAATCTTGCACTGAGTCGTGCCTTCCTGTTGTTTCTTCAAAGCTTCCTTGACTTCTCTTACCATCCGTTCGGCCCTGCCATTACTGGCGGGATGATAAGGTGCTGCGAACACTGTACGAACACCGTTCAATTTCAAGAACGCTTGCAATTCAGCACCAATGAACGCTGTGCCATTATCAGAGACGATTACGTCTGGTACCCCGTGAGTCGCAAATATTTTCCTTAAGCTGGTGACGACAGCTGAAGATTTCATTGATGGCATGATTTCTACCTCTGCCCAGTTGCTGTACGCATCAACTACAATTAGAAACACTTCTCCCTTGACTGGCCCCGCGAAGTCTATGTGTAGACGACTCCATGGTTGATCTGGCTTGACCCAGAAATGCACTGGAGCCTTGGGGTCGCTTTGGCGGTTACTTTGACACGGCTGACAGTACCGCACAAATTCTTCAATCTGGCTGTCCATCTTTGGCCACCACATAAGCCCTCTTGCTGAAGCTTTCATGGCACTCATTCCCGGGTGGTTTGCATGCAGCAACTGAAGTACCCTCTCTCTTGCCACTTGCGGGATGACCACACGGTTTCCCCACAGTATGCAATCACGATGCAACGACAACTCGGACTTCCTTACCTCGTAAGGCGCGAACGTATTGTCCGGTTGCCTCGACGGCCAGCCACTGAGGATCCAATCCTTGACCTTGGATAAGATGCAGTCTTCCTTGGTCATCCTTGCGATGTCTGCCGCCTGGAGTGGAGCATACTCGACAGCTTCAAGCAGGAGCACGTCCCCCGGTGGCTGTGGTTCGTCTTCGTCTCCCACGATTGGCAGACGACTAAGCGCATCAGCGTTGGAGTTGTCTTCGCCCCGCCTGTACTGAATGCGATAATTATACGCCCCTAACAACAAAATCCAGCGAAGCATCCTGGGCGACAGCACTTCTGGCACCCGCTTCTCTGTGTTGAACAACCCCAACAGCGGCTTATGATCCGTTACTACGGTAAAGTCTCTTCCGGCCAGGTACTGGTGAAATCTTTTCACTCCAAAGACGACTGCTAAACCTTCTTTGTCAATCTGGGCATAGTTGCGTTCACTAGCACCGAGAGTTCGTGAGGCGTATGCTATAGGTTGCTCTTTCCCGTCATCAGCCCTATGCGCCAGCACGGCCCCTACCCCGACAGGCGACGCGTCGCAGCACAAAACCAACGGCCGCTTGGGGTCATAGGGAACAAGTACTGCATCCGAGCTAAGCAACTTCTTCAGCTTTTCAAACGCCCGCTGGTGCTCACCTGTCCATTTCCATTCTTGCTCGTGGTCCAAAAGCCGATGAAGGGGTTCCGCCACTTCTGTCTTCCCCTTGAGGAAACTGGCGTAGAAATTTAACAACCCCAAGAAAGCTTGAAGCTGCTTCCTGCTTGTCGGCGGTGGCGCTTGCTGAATGGCGTCCGTCTTGGTCTGGCTCGGGTGGATACCTGCGGCATCGATTCTATGTCCCAGGAATTCAATGCTTGCTTGACTGAATTCACACTTTTCTTTGTTTACTCTTAGCTGCGCTCTTTGCAGACGCGCCAGCACGGCTGCAAGCCTTTCCGAGTGTTCGTCTGCGTTGCTTCCCGATATCAAGATATCATCGAGATAAGCCTTCACCCCCGGAATCCCTGCCAATAACGTGTCGATGACTCGCTGAAACACCCACGGAGCCACCGAGATTCCAAACGGCAGCCGCCGGACCTTGCATAGCCCTTTAATCGTGTTGACGGTCAGCATTTCTGCTGATTCATCATCTAGGCTGAGCTGTTGATACGCCTGAGTTAAGTCGAGCTTGGTAAAAATTTTACTCGACCCCAAGGTCGCTAGCATTTCCGCGGTCGTGGGCAAAGGATACCCGCTGCTTTTAATAGCCTTGTTTACGGTACTACGGTAATCCCCACATAAACGCAAGGTTCCGTTTTTTTTCCTCACCACTACCAGCGGTGTCGCCCAGTTTGAGTACTCAACCGGCTCCCAGACGCCTTGTTGCACCAGGCGATCCACTTCCTTGGCCACGTCGTCCTTGAGGGCCAGCGGGACAGGACGACTCTTGAGAAACACCGGGCGGGCGTCCTCTTGAAGCTCTATGTGAACTGGCGGTCCGTTGAATCCAGGCAGGTCACTGCCGAAAACCTCAGCAAAACGCAATGTCACGTCCTCCACCTTGATCCGCTGAATTCCACTCAAACGGATGCCCAGCGACTCAAACCAGCTACGTCCGAGTAAACTGTTACCACACTTCTTTATTACTAACAAAGGTAGCTCTGCTCTACAGCCTTTGAATTTCACTTCCACGTTTGCCCGACCCACCACGGACAATGATTCATTCGACCAGGTTACAAGCTTTGTGCCGGCTTCTTGCAGCGGTATCTGGCCTCGATTCTTCTCGATCAACCGAAACGTCTCTTCACTCACAATCGAGCAAGATGCTCCTGAATCGACTTCCATCGGAACTTTCTCTCCTTGAATGTGCACTTCTACCATGAACTTTTCAGCCTGTTCACGCACTTCGCATACAGAAAACAATGCGCTCATTTCATAGACGCCCTTGTTTTTTTCCTCCCGCTTGCGCAGGTCAGTTGGCTTCCGCGGCGTCCGATTCTCGTCTTTTGAACGACAAGCTTTTGCCACGTGTCCAACCTTTTTGCATTTGAAACAAGCAGCCTTTCTAAAACGGCATACATGCGGAGCGTGCTTACCGTTGCAGCGGAAGCAGCTGACGTCGTCCGCCTTGGTGTCCAGTTTCATGCGTGTCGCTTGAACCAGACCCTCGCTTTCTTTGGTTCCGTCTTGAGCTTGCTTGCGTATATCGCGCTGCTGCTTCTCCGTTGCCTCCGCCGTCAGCGTCATGTCGTACGCCACCTCGAACGTCAGGTCGCGTTCTGCGAGCAGCCGCTGTTGAACCGCTTCATTCTTGATTCCGCATACGATCCGGTCCCTCATCATGACGTCCAGTGGAAGCTGTTTGTCACCGAAACCGCAGTCTTCAGCCAGCTTACGGAGTGCCGTAACATACTCCGACGCCGCCTCACCCTGAGCTTGGTTTCTTCGGTAGAATAAGAATCTTGCGTACAGCTCCGAAGGCCTTGGATGCATGTGCTTCCGCACCGCCCCCTTGATGTCGTCGTAGCTCGCCGCCGTCGGTCTTGCTGGCTTGACCAAGGTCACGATCAGCCCGTAAGTGTCCTCGCCGCAACAACTCAGCAGAACCGCTCGTTTTTGCTCGTCCGTGGTTATCTTGTTTGCAGCGCAGATCTCTAGCCGTTCGACGTATTCATCCCAGGACGCATTCGTGCCGAGACGATATTCGCCGATCCTGCCGACCGACATCTTGCCTTACTCGACCGGGACTCGCCCGTCCGTCGATTCGCCTCGTCGCCAATGTAATAGATCCTTCAGACAGCGCGGTGGGAACAGAACAACAGTTTATTTCCGTATGAGCGTTTAGATACACTGCGCAGGTTATGATAAGCGAACGCGGCTTGCGTTGGTGATAGGCGCTGACAACGATAACAACAAATATACCTTGTCACTACATGACATTTTGTATTTCGTATTTCGAGAAAAACATGAATTTTTTTTGTTAGCAATTTATAAGCGCGTGATTTATAAAAAGTTCCCTTCAGAAAAATGAATCTCTGTGTAGCTAGAGTTTAGTTTAATGCATTATGGATCATGGATAATTATGAGCTTATTTCGCTTTACAAACCCTTGATGAAAAGCGACAGATCCTAAAAAGGCACGCTTACTCGAGCTCTGAAGAGCCGTAGTTCCTACTTGTTTTCAATGATTACAACCAGTTCTGTTTCAATTAGATGCACAGTGCCACTTCTCAGTTGTGACTTAAAAAGGAATGCCTTCCGTTATGTCTTTGACCTATGTGGAAGTCAAAGAAATAGACAATAAAACTAAAAATATTTGAATGAACATTTACACTTTTGTTGATGCAATATTAATTTTATTCCTGCACTGGTGAGTGTTACTGTGGAACCGAACATTACATAATAAATAACCGACTCCATGTCGAAGGTCAATAAAAATATTTTTCCAGCATAACTGGAAAAAAATATCAGCACGAGACAAGAAACGAACGTCACTCGATTTGTTCGTTCTTTATGATTCTGTGTTTTCCCTTGGAGCTCTTATCTATCCAAATTACACCACACAAATTAGTTCGAGTGTAGACTCTTATCTATGCGAGACAAAAGTAAACGAGAAACAGAGCGAGTTCCTCGCCCACAGATTTCGTTGAACCATACATTAGATAATTAGGAGTGTGCTCAGATACAACCTTAGTTAAACAACACACACATCCAGCGCGCATTTTCTTAAAACGCTAGCCAGAAGTTTCGCGTAAATACCATGAATTACACAAAATTAATATCGACACCGTATTATTCATCGCCACGCTGTTTACTCGTTTGTCGCGGAGCGCGTTCGTTAATTAGAACGTAAAAGGGTAGGATTAGGTCCGCATAATTAACTTTTTTAATTGACTAATATAGACCTTAAGTTCCCACCGAAAAACCTGCTCGACATTATCGAAAACCGCTAAATAATTCAATTTTAGAACGATATAGAGTGCGCGTTTTGTTTTGCTGGGGGCCGAAAACGCGTTCAGCGACGACACGTCCCCGCGGTTTCTCCGTCTCGTATTATCCGCATATGTTTCTCCGCCAGCCTCGCACCTGCAGCCGGTGGCTTCCTACGCACTCAAACATTTCCAAAGCTGACTTATTCAATTGGTTTCTTCGAATTTCCAACGAGCTCCTAGTTAAAAAAAAAAAAAAAAACACGTTGACTGTGACTAACCCAGAAAGGCGTGCAAATATATTTGAGTGACTCGTTATCCTAAACACAATGTACCTGCGTAATCTAAACAGGCACCTTGGCGGCGACCGATAATTTGGTCATCAATGCTTATCTTGTGAGATTTATGCGGTGAGCAAGTCGTCTGCTCCTTTCCCCGCGAGTTGCGGCGACGTCAGAACGCCGACCTCCGACTGGCTTTCATTGAAAGAAGAGTGGGTAGACCTCAATGCTAGATGCCTCGAGGAGGTCTACCCGCTATTTGACTTAGAGCGCAGCTTTTAGGAGCCCGTTTCCGTGTCTCGCGGCGTCGGCATAACCGTGCTAAATTTAGCAAGAAAACTTACGTGACGTGATATCAACATCAATGTAATTCATTCATTCATTCATTTATTGAACCTTAAGGGCCCGTGAGGGCGTTACATAAGGGGGATCATTCATATTATACATTGGAAAAACAGACACACAAAAAAATACATTCAGGAAAAGGTTGGTAAACAGTTAACAACATAAGAAGTGCGATTGAAGACTTGATTTAAAGACGTTTGGTTCTACGATGGATACGATGGAGGATGGGAGGCTGTTCCACACATTGATATATTGTGGGAGGAAAGATCGGTTGAAAGCGTTTGTTGAGGCAGAGATCCTTTTGATGGCACAGGCATTGTTTAGGTGAGATGATGTTCGGTCGGGAGGTGATAGTAATGCTATTTTAAGGTCAAGACAGTCATAATAAATTTTGTGAAAGAGGCAGAGGGGAGAGACGTTCCTACGAAGCTGCATAGAAGAAAGGGTGAGTTGACTTTTTAGGGAAGAGACAGCGATGGAGTTATCGTACGTGGAGAGGATGAAACGAGTGGCCCTGTTTTGAATTGCTTCCATGTGATTGATAAGGTAGCCTTGATGGGGGTTCCAGATGGAGGCAGCATATTCTAATTTAGGTCGGATAAGTGTGTCGTAGGCCAGTTCGCGGCCTACAACCGCAAACTGGCAAACAGCAAAATTCCCCGCTAAATTTAGCGAGAAAATTCAGTTTCTTAGCTATATTTACGGGACAAATTCAGTTTCTCTACTAGATTTAGCGAGAGAATCGACGTCAATTAACTCAACACAAGTGCAGTTCCCCGCTAAATGCAGCGGGGAATTGAATTGGCGTTGAGGTTACGTGACATCAATTTTTCTGCTATAGCTAGCGGAGAAGCTGAATTTGTTCAGTTTACAGGTGACGTGACACCAGGTAATGTGACGTCATCTTCCCCGCTAAATTTAGAGGAGAAACTGAATTGAAGGAGGAGGGAAAGGAGGAAGAGGAGAGAGTACAAAAGAGGAAAAGGGGCATACCCTCCCTTTCGTGCCCACCCCTCCTCCTCCTCAAGAGCTGCGCTCTAATTTCACATTACAGAGAGGTGTGAACGTCTTTTATGTTTTCAGTCAACCAGAGATAGCTCGGTGTTTTGACATCATCGCAACCTTTGTGCAAGAAGCAGACGAACTTGCGCTACAAATGGCTAATACTTCGGAGGGTGGTTCTCTCGTGAAACACCCTGTATGCGCGCGATGGTCGTAGCACAACTTTGTTTTACGCTCCGCTGCACGGCGGTCTGTGCGCTCACGCTAGTCACTGACAGCCCTAGAAGCACGGGGCGTGGCGAGTTCCTGACATCCTGTCGTCGGTCCACAGCGAATGAGATGGTCGCATCAGTCGATGAGATCACCGAAGAACCAATGAAGAAGCGATATGCTTGAATATTAACCGCGCCCTATGTTTCTTATTCTGTTAATGGCGGAGCCAACACGGGATAATGAATGCGGACGTCATCCAAATGGTATGTGTGTGTGCGTGTGTGCGCGTGCGCACGCTTGTGTGTGTGTGTGTGCGTGAGTGTTTCTCTGCGTTTCTGTGTGCGTACGGGTAACTGTGCGCGTGTGTATGGTTGTGTGTGTGTTTTCACGACTCATCTGTCACCTCCCCCCCTGCACCCCCCCCCCCCCCCCGCCAGGTTGATTAGCACGAAAGTATGTGCTTCGCTTCAATATAAAGCTAATGCAGAACGTTGCAATTCGCTCCAAAATGCCTACGCTGGAAAAGACCCCCTCCCAGTGAGTAAAAATTCAAGCTCCTCCGAGCTCGCGTTGGGCAATAGCACTCTGCAAAAGCAGAGCCCATCCAGCGGATGAGTTTTGTGTGCCAACGACGTAGTTAAACGAGCCGTGCAAGTAATTACTCCTAACTGCAGCCACGCTTCCAGGGGACACGTCGGTCGCACTCCCAGCGTGGCCAAGCCGTTTATTGGGGGCACCGTGCATTCACATCTCAGTGCCGCTATTTACCCTGTAGCTGCTGCAGACATCCCCAATCGCTTTTTCATTTTGCCTTACGAAAAACTAGCCTTTATATAACCTGGCAATCGTTGCTTAATCTAAAAAAACAACTGGGTCCTTTCGGGGAAAAAAACCAAAGCACTAAGAGTATTATATATCCGCGCTTTTAGGCAACACTTCGGAGAGTATCCTTAAAATAGTGTCTTCTTTGCTTATTTAAAATTTAAAATATACCTTCAGTACAGTATGTATACGTGACTTGCTAGACTAGACTGTCACACGGGGCGCACCGCTAGAATACGAAGCACGATGAAGTTATATAAAACATGTGCTTCAAGTAGTGAAAGTATTCGAAGTACGAGCAAATATTTTTTCTCCCCACAAAAGTACGACATTAGAATATTTGAGTTCATGGCTCAAAAGTTTAATTTTTTTCCCTAATTGTAAATGACGAGCTTGAGGACGCAATTTTATGTTCCAAATAATTAAATGAAGTATTTGAGTGTATTTGATAATATACTAAATAATATGAATTTATGTCTGCTGGATTTAGCGTTGATGTAGCGTAAGTTAGTAGATAGTTTTAGTGAACCGTACACTATAGCTTTGCGTACGCAAGGAGATTGCGGGTCGTGAGTGCGCATGCGCAGAACGCAAAAGAAGGGCTAGCGTATTGCGTACGCACGCAACGCTGGGGATTTTGCGTTGCTGGCTAGCGGGCCTTGCGGGACGCTCTCGAGAGATCTCGGACCCAACGAGAGCGCCAGTTTCAAGATGGCGGTTGCCTCGACTGGCGCTTTACACACGCGGAAGTCTACGGCTGTAGTAAATTCAACCAAGATCATGCGCGGTGTTCACTCGAAAACGTAACGCACAACTAAATTCGGTCCGAGCAGGTCACTTTTAGCGTACGCTATACTATTGCGTATTGCGTACGTAAGATCCAGCAACGCTATACTAAAACTGTCTAATAACATGGCTAATTGGTCTACGCACCATGGTCTATGTTGGGCATAACATTTTCTAAGCGAAGTTCCTCTGAGAAAATGTCTTGCATAAAGCTTCGAGAATAATCTCACACTAAAAAAAAAAAAAAAAATAGAAAACACGTCAACAATTACCTTTTTTTAGGCACTCAAATTTACATGTACCGTCGGCGTAAGTATCAAATGGGGATATATGAAAACTTGATTTTATTTACTGTTTCCATAAATTCAAAATATGCACTCTTGTGATACATAAAATGACCGCTGATTTTACGGCACATATACAGTAACTTTAAAACAGCGATAACAAAACCTCAA